TAGTAAGTAACTTCTCACCAGAAAATATTCATAGTATGGTTAAATCAAGCACTTCTTTATTTTCTATATCCATATCTCATTCACTTTCGGGGCGTGTTTTATGGGACGCCGTGATGAAAACCTCGTTTTGTCTTATCTTGTTTCGACTGCCATTCTGTTTTACCTTTTTGGAGGGGAGGGGGTGAACGGAGAAGACGGTTTCTTAGAAGTTTAGGGAGGGGTTTGGTGCCATATACTCTATTGCCTGCTGAAACTACTAACAGTGTAATTGCTCGAATATATATATGATTAACCGATTATACATTTATACATTCCTTACGTCATACGTAATAGTTTATTTTATTTAAAAGTAGTTTATTTTATTTAAAAATTGTTTAGAGTTGGATAAATTCAATGGCATAATGGCACAATCAGATAAAATTACCAATTGATAAGAATAAGGATTTATAGATATAAAAACTAAAAAAACTAAGATAAAATCCCATTATATAAGTTAAATAGCAAAATAACGTGAAATTTTGTAAATTTTGCCAGCCAACATCGAAGTTTTCATTATGTGCAATAATAACATTAGAACAGTAATTTGGAACTATGCAAACTGGAGTGTTTTCCTTTAAGATGAGACAAGTATTCATGGGTCTGGAGACCCTAGTCTTTGTTGCGTTGGTTCCGAACATTATTTGGGTTAATGGCGAATTGCAAGATCATCGAGAAGATGCAGTAAAGGTAAGTAGTTAATGTATGCATAAATTGCTGTTCTGATGGTAGATGGTAGATATATATACATGAAGATGAAAATATGACCATTTTAGTTATAACAAATGTATGTCTTTCCTCTGTAGGCTTAAACAGTTGAGTTATTTGTTTTGCAGTATATCAATGTCTTTTAAATGAAATTTTTGAGGAAAACATTCCATATTACTTTCATTTACATTTTACCATTCGAAGAACTTTGCTCTCTAATTCCTTCCGATTTGATTATTAGTTGTAACAGAAATCCATAATTGACTATAGGATTTTGGACCGGGCGTAGCTTCGTCACCATGGGAAAGAAAAATGAAAGCCTGGTTTAATAAAGTGGACGTCAACGAAGACGGCCTGAACAGGCATGATTACGTCGATTTGGTCACCGAAAGAGCCCGCGTGGTACTGCCTCCATGGCGCGCCATGGCCGTGTATGGCCTGATGAGTTTGGATCCGTGGTTTCCTTTTAATAGCCTTTATTCAAGGCAGACCATACGCTTTAAAAACTGGCTTGAATATGTTAAACCTCTAATGAACACTGCGACCGATAAAAATAACCAAGTGGAATGGTGTATCGACTGGTTAAATATCATTGACGTTGACTGTGATGGAGAAATTTCAGCTAAAGAGTACTCGGCCTTCCTCTACATATGGAGAAACTTGCTACCACCGGAAGTACCATTTAATGCCACCGACACTGATGAGGATGGCGTCATCAGCGGCAAAGAGTTCTTTTACGGATGTGAACATTTTCTTGCCGACAAAGAGGACACTCCGGCAAGGCTTTTTTATGGCTCCCGTGAGGCCTAGTGACGAACCATGACCGGGGATAATTAAATTATTACAACTACAAACTATTTTAATGGAAAAAAATGGTGATTGGCATATATGGTTATAGATAATTACTGTTTGAATCATGTCCTTTCTTTTTTCATTTTCCCATGCATGTCTGCAATAAAGCAGATTTTAAAATTTAAGATTTTTTTGTTTAAAAGTTCGAAAGATGTATTCAGTACCTACATGTATCTGCCACTGGAATTTGGATCTCTTGCCAGTCAAACGACAAAAAATTCGAGTGAGAATGACTAGTATTTCTTAGATTTCTTAAGACCGAAAATTAACCCTTAGGTTTAAAACGGTAAGTCTTCAGTGACCCAAAATAATGTGTTTTGTATTCAAACAGGAAATGTCGCCTTGTCTTGTATAGATCGTTATCGCTCGTCTCGTTACCCCTTGTTTGTGTGTGTTTTACCGTAGACCTCATTGAACAATATGGCTACAACAAAGGCTAGATGTTACCGTTTAGAACTTTATTGAAGCGTCGATTTTGATTCGATTTATGATTAAGCGACGTCGAATTATTACACTTCTAAGTAACTGTTAAACATTCAGGAAATCACAGGTACCAACGACAACAAGAAATAAATAAATAAAAATAAAAAGAACTTAGACTTAGAAAGCATTGTTCGGGGTGATTTTTGACTTATGGGTTGATATTCTTGGAATGACATTCATGATAAGATATGTAGATACTATATAGAAATGATGACAGCATCATTTTCTACCTGTCTACGTTATTGTAGTGTCACTTTACTGAACGAGTTTTGATAAGAAATATGTAAGGCCCGATAAGTCAATTTACCGGCCCCGACTCAAAACCTGCAAAATCTAATTGTAGGCCTATGTTCAAATATTTTTATCTCTGCCAATGACACTTGGCCTTGTAAACACGTGTGTCAAGTTTTCAGTCTACTGTTAATATAGTGTAACATATCGAATATAACTCAACACTCGGCTACCCTCTAGCTCAGTTAGTACCACAGAGATATTTAACCAGATATCTACAGATGTCCCTCTTGTAATTCTGTGTACATATCTGTGCCGTGACCCTGTGGTGTGACACAGGTGATACATTTGGTACAGAGCTGGTCATTATTCTATTACCACCCCTGGCACAAACCTCTACCAGAGCTAAATATTGATTTTTTACTAGATACTCACAGATATGTCACTAGTTAAATGATGGGACTACTCTGCACTGAGACTCTGTGATGAAATTTCAAATATGATTATGACTAGTAATTGTGTGTATAACTACTCAGGCACTGCCACTTTACAAGTAACTGTCACGTCACTGTGACAGCAATCAAGGCAGTTAATTTATCTGGCATAATCACCTGCTCGTCTGTGAAAAAATAAAAATAAGCCCTTATAAAAAGTTTATTTTTATTTCAAGGTGTACATTTAGACCACGAGACTTGTTTCAGAAGGCAGGTAAGGCAAGACAGGTTGCTTAACGAACTTTTATCACATAGGCACGAAGCCCAGCACCTGCAGAGCGGATATACAATGGCATCTGCATGCGTGCAGATTTAATTGCTTCCATCTGGCCAAACGTTACTACATGTAGGTGGCGTCAGAGAAAAAAAATCATAAATTAAAACTTGCGACTCTGGTAGAGGGTACCCTGGCACCGTTCCTCCGATAGCGACCATCACAGTTAATTGCCCCATGGTCCTTTGAACACTGTAGGGCGCAGGCGCACTATACAATTTTGACTGCTCCTGTGAAAATGTTGCCCAAGGTTTTAGAGATCCGATGGTGGCAAAGAAGGAAAAAAACTGAAGACAGAAATGCTAATAACAGGAACGTAAGAATTTTTGTCTTCCCCACAGATCGTTTGTGTATATGAGTTGACATTTACACTGTGGTTTACTTAAATCTATCAAATCATAGGGTTTCCAACCACTGCATGGTAATACCCGTTTCTTAAAATGTTCACGAAAGAAGGAACACACGTGTTTACAATATCATCTACATTTATTGCACACATAACCATATACAGTGTCTTGAGAAGTCTTATACAGTGTCTTGAGAAGTCATATACAGTGTCTTGAGAAGTCTTTTACAGTGTCTTGAGAAGTCTTTTACAGGATCTTTAAGAAGTAAAGGTCTGCTGAGACGAGTCAGCATGAACAGTGACCAATGGACAATTGTCCAGAACACTACTATGGTGGCCCGTCTGGCCAAACTCGGGCCATTCTGTGAATTGCCAACATCTTCGCTTGATCAGTGGCACAAACTAGCCAGGGGTTCAAGACAGACTTGTCATTATTACTTGATCAAAATATTTAACACTTTTTAATTTCTAAACATTTGGCTAAGTTAAAGGGATAACAACCATTTTTGGTTTAAAAATTGATCTTCCTGGGGTAATCAATGATTCTCCCATACTAACCAATGGTTAATAAATCCATTCTGACAGTCAGAATTACTCCATTTTTTTTCTAAAAAAGTTTGGTTATTTGCAATAATCTCTGAAGAGATTACTATAGAGGTGCAGCCACCTATGAAGGTCCATGTGGTCTGATAGCAAGCACAGATTACAGAATAACTGTGATGGCTGCTGTTTTGGTGGTAAATGGAATTTACTATATTTCAATGTTTTGTTTACAATGCATTTATTGTGACATATTTACCTCAGCAACAGTTGCTATCCATTAAGGAGAAAATCCATCAACTCACAGTTATTATCCATCTTGGTGTCCAATACTATATATTATATCCATCTTTTTATCAATTTTAGGTGAAAATAAGATGTAAGGAATAAAAAAAGATATAACCATAAAATAAATACAAATAATTATTAGAAAACCTACAGTTACAATACAGAGTCAATTTAGTTCTAAAATGACAGCACATGAAAACAGCAAATCATTATAAGGATAACAACTATAATAAATAAAAACATCTGCCAGCAGTGTTGTTAGTTTTGTCAGTAAATATTACTTAAGAAACTACAGTAAATGTAGAAACCTTAAAATATTTGTATTTGGTCACATCTTCCACTGGATTTGTTTCCTAAAGGGCATTAAAGGAGAATAAATAAAAAAAAAATTATATTTTTTAATTTAATACATTATGGCTTTGCATGTGGTTTATCCACGTTTGATAATCATTGCCTGTCATCAAAATGATTCACATTTTACATGGTGAACAGTGCAAGCCTCCTACTTCACATGTCAATTGATTCACATGCCATCTGATTCACATGTCAATCGATTCACATGCCATCTGATTCACATATCAATTGATTCACACCCTTAAACTCAACAAACATATTTCCTCTATCTTGTGATAAAAACTTGAAAATATGTACACTAAATTCTTCAGTTTTGCAGAGACAATAAACAATTGGCAAAAAGAAGAAAAATATTGCTTATTTGATATGACTTGATTGCCAGTATCTGACCATATTTTTTTACATTCTTTGACAGCTTTAACTGACACATCAGATATTAATCTCAGCACTAAAGACGTGGAGATAAATCTTAACTTTGTCACTTAGCGAGGATAATTTTTTTTCTATTGTCAAACATCTAAAGCATTTCTTCACTCTTCTACTTAATATATACCAGACCTAGACACCAGATGTACAAACTGTATTTCAAAAATTGATCATCAAGACAGTGATGAGGAAAAAATGAGTAAAACTGCATTATTTAAAGACTTCAATAGAAGAATACGAATACAGCAGATTTATAAAATCATTCCAAAAAAGTATTGCTTGCAGCTGTATATGGCAGCAATGGAAGAACTTGGACTTCCCAGAGAACATTTATCTGCAGAATCAAACATGATGGAAGAAATGGCATTTAAAAAAATGTGCATACCAAAAAATAATGTACAGATGTATCTGCTACCACATACCTTTTTGTTGTAAATGAATCAGTTATAACATACAGCACATGATTATTTTGGTCACTAGTTAATAGCAGTTACAGTGTTCAACATTAAAATCATTACAAAATGGTACAAATGAAATCTAAAATATTTTGATTGATTTTAAGGCTTATTTTGGATGATCATCAATCCATGTTCCAATCTGTAATCACCAAAAAGACAAGATCAATTCGAATATCTTCAGTAAAATGAAAAATTAAGAAATAAACAAAAAATAAAGAACAATTAACAGCACATTTACATATGGCACAACACTTTGCTTCAAAATAGAAAAAAATGGGAACCATTTCGATTTTACTTTTGATCAAATTACGAACAATACATAAATTTCCCACAGGAATCGGCATTTTACTGTTTGATCATAAGTTATCATTGCCATGATGAAGAAATATTTAATGAAAGACAGTAAACTTGAAAATAACTGAATCTTAAGTATAAAACTGAAGTTTTAAGATACCACATGGAAGATCCTGATCATAATTAGGTTGTCAATATGTTTTTGTATATCCGTCATGGTAGTGAAATTAAGTCAGTCCTCCCTGCCCCATGAACTGATATGAGCAGAAACATCAGGCACAAACTGGCCATGTATTAATAAAACAGCACTTTTCATTGGTTGGTAATCACAATGAGCTGCCTACTTCCATTGGCTGCTTTGGCTGGGTGTGGTGACAATTAGCCTGGTTACCATGAGTAAACATTTATGATTGACTGGAAGATCACACTGGTTGCCATGAGTCCGAGTCTCTGGCAGATCCACCATTTTAGTATGGATATGCTGAAGTTTCATTTCTTGTTCTCCGATTGTTATTTCTTTTCTGCCATTGATTCCCATTGCTGAAGTGATTAAAATTAATGTAAACATAAGTTTAATTTTATTCCGATATATGCAATCTGGATGTATGATACATTAATCTTGTACTCAGAAAAGGGGGTCTAAATAATATAGTAAAACAAGAGAAAACTATACATTGTATACATTCCCAACATCATATGTTCATATGTACTAAGTTCCATAATAAATCTATACCAGAAAGCATATAATGTGATGCTTGTATAAGTTGGAGCGCATACATGTCCAGAAGAGCATTTATAACTTTCATTCATATGCACCAGAAGATTCTCAAACGTCATTTTATTTTCCATCCATACTATATTGCAGAGCAAAAGAATGCACTTGTATTTCATGTTAGGAAAAAAAAACTGTATTTAAGAAATGACTTGCTCTGTATCAAATTTGCCATACAAATGATGCATAGATTCATTAACTGAAAAAGCAAATGGATGTACAGTTTTGTTAAGCACAGAAGATGGGAAATATTACAGATTGTATTTTACTTAACACCATGAGACACCAAGAGAAATCAGCACCTGAACCAATTGTAAATACTACAGATACAGCAGACAACACTTCACAGGCCCACAATGCCTCATTCAAAATGGCAAAAAATTAACTTCATCATCCACAATGCAGCATTCAATATGGCACTTTTATCATTCATTTTAGGCACCCAAAGTGTCAAACATTCTTTTTATAACCCACAAAACATAATACATCTTCATTGTCAAATCATCACAAAACAGCACAAATGGATAACCGGTAATCAGGATAGGATGAAATAAGGAATTGGTTATTATTATCTATATTATGTTATTTATAATAAGACATGCTGAAAGTTCTTCCACCAAGTTCACGCCTTTTGTTACTTTTCTTTCACATCAGTTTGTAGCATTAATAGTGCAATATTGGTAAGCCGTCATAGCATCTAACATCACCGATACCAGTATCACTGTCACTGAAATTATTAGGATTAAATATGAAAAATATAAGTATTGATGATCCCATGTTTCACTCACCCTTCTTACTGATGTAAAAGTTGCTGACTTAGGTTGCCTCTGAAAACGATTTTGAAATGGAGAGTACATCAACCACACCTTAAGATTATAGCTTTAAAACCTAGATATTATTTTTGTACAGGCATAAAAAATAATACATTGAATATGTGTAACATTTTTCAATGTCACACATTGAATGGAATGCCTTCATGCAGATTTATCCTGAAACATGAAGGTATACCATATCTACACTGTCAACAAAATTGGAATATGACATTTTTCCTGATTTTCTTATTAACTTTAAAGTAAAGAAGACGGTGACTGGTAAACTACAGTTGTCACAGTAAACAATATTAAATTTAGACCTCAGATCAGAAATATTATTTATAAATCATAAGTTTTCGATGGTTTTGCATAGGGTATGCCTTGGTGGGAAAAAATACATTTTGCCTGTGTGTCCATATTTTATGGGCACCCTGTATTGAAAACAGGGGAGTAGAGGGTGTGCCATTGGTCAAATGAAGGAATTGAAATAATCAGCCTCAACTGCTGCAATGATGCATATACTGATGGGTCTAGGGGAGTTTTAAAAAGAAGCACAAGACTAATGTAGCACATAACTCTTGACTTTCACCAAGGAAATGGGCGGGAGGTTTCAAACAATACCATTTTCTATGTAGATATAAATGCCATGCCCTGAGCTATGTAGGCATAATTCCAATACCATGCTCAATCCATTTATGGTCAAAGATATCATATGCATGCCACTCCCTTTATGGTAATCAACATGAATCAGGCATCCTTATTTGCTGACCAACATCATGCCAACTCCTTATTTGGTCATAACACTAATTCTTGGGTACCCTATCATGCCCTACTATACCCTTATATTGGCATCAATATCATGCCCTTTCCTAATATGGAAATCAGCATAACACCCTTCTTATATGGCCATTAACACTAATTTATACCATATATTGTTACTAACCAAAGCCTGAGCCTCCACTGGCTCATAGAGGTCACTGCCATCATATTCCTGTAAATAATGTGAAGCAAAATGGCATGCTGTGAGACTTTGGGCAATACTCCATCAAAAACTGGGCTAAAGCCAAGTGGGAATATAAATGTATTAATATAATCTATATTTGGTCTCATCAACATTTACTATTTTAGCCCCTATCTTTGATCGCATTCACAACCAGTTGAGCCAGGCTTTACAAATCCTGGGGACTAAATATGGCAGAAGTACATGAAACAAAAACCACCTAATCTTTTAATAGTCTCTTCGCCNAAGCCAAGTGGGAATATAAATGTATTAATATAATCTATATTTGGTCTCATCAACATTTACTATTTTAGCCCCTATCTTTGATCGCATTCACAACCAGTTGAGCCAGGCTTTACAAATCCTGGGGACTAAATATGGCAGAAGTACATGAAACAAAAACCACCTAATCTTTTAATAGTCTCTTCGCCTCTCACACGCCTCCCCATGTGTCGTCCCAATGGAGCCGAGATTTAATGACTGTCCCCCCGCAGGGACGACGTGCCATATTTAGTCCCCAGGATTTGTAAAGCCTGGCTCAACTCGTTGTGAATGCGATCTTATACTCCATTAGCAATAGCTGCGTAATTACAAAGGAAAACTGAAAAGAAATGAATGAAAACGAGAAAACAAATAAGAGACATAGTACCTAACAAGTTCTACTTAGTTTTGGACCCTTGCTACCTGATAATCAAAATGTGGGTTAGTGTCTTCTACATTAGATAAGATGAAAAGAAATGTGGCATCTCACCTTCAGTTTATCTTTCACAGAGATTTCAGTTGCGTTGTAACCGGATAGAGGGCGCTGGGGGTCAGCAACACCCCCAGGTAGGGTCTGGCTTCTCAGGCGCTTTTCTCTTCTCTCCGTGACTTCTGTAGACTCCGTCCTCTATAATAATCCAACATAAAATCAGTGAGATAAGACAGTCACCTTAAACAACCCCTTTCACATCTGTTCTAAGTTAGAACAATTCTGATCTAAAGAGCATCATCATTCAACTTATTTCATCTACGTAGGGTGTAAATATCTGGGATGGAGACAGGCCTTTAGAAAGTAATTTTGAATGGAGGAGGGTTTTTTAAACAATAGGTAGACTTTTCAGCCCCATAGTTCACCCAAATGCCATAAAATCTAAATTAGATTTTAATTTTGAGTGAACAATCATTTGCCAAAAGGGTGGTTCTTTTAAACCCTTCAAACTTTCCCCCTGTGGATATATTGGGCTTCAAAGCCCTACTTCACCTTATACACAGCATTTATAGTAGTTTGTTATATGCTTGAAACTGTTTTAACTTAGAACAGATCTGAACAGATCCATCAATACAAAATCAGTGAATGACTAAGGCTAAATAAACACTAAAGATGTTATGAATGATTTCAACAAAATCACTTGGAATCACTGGGAATCAAACAAAATATCTTGTAACGAATTGTGCCACCTTATTTCAAAGTTTCTTTAATTAATGTAATATCACATCAAAGGTTCAGGTTCTTTGTGCTAAACAAGCAGATAAAATTTAAGTAATTGGCCACCTAATACTTCTACAAGCTACATTAAACAGACATGTTAAATACAAAAACAACATCATTTCTACAACTAATATAATTGGTAGACTACAAACATGCACCAAGACAACAAACAGTGAAAAAATAATACAAATTTACAGTGAGACACTAAGATGTCACTCCTACAACTATAGTTAATTTTATATCTCAGTATTATGAATCTTCGATGATTTGAAGATAATTCAACATCACACATGCATTCAAATTTCAGTAGTGTTGCTTTAAATTATTTTAAATGATCTAGTGAAGTCTGTGGTCATTAGAAAATTAAGTAAGAGACACACCACATTAAGAATCAATGTTACAACAGCTCTACAATAATTAGTTTACAGTTAGCCATCTAGTCATGTGACATTTGGTCATGTGATCTTGGTCATGTGACCTACCTGTGAGAGTAAACTACTGGATAATTGCGGGTTCTGTCGAGAAACAAACAATGACATACAACTATTATCACAGATGTACAAAGATATGGTTACACAAATTTCCCCTATTTATTTGAAAGAAAACCCAATTTTGGGTACAAAATCATTTAGGTAAAGGGTCAAGGTCACTAAACTGCTCTGACAGAACAAAATGTCCATCACTTTATGTTTTTAACTTGCAATCTTCTTCCTTATCACAAAGTAGTAATTTTATTAAACATTTAAAGTATATTTACTGAAACACATAGATCATGAAGGTTTGGACTGGTGTACATATAATTTCTTAAGCAGATCAACCAACAAGTGCTTTTTATTTGTGAATCTGGTGAAAATTTTTCAAGCGATTCTCATTTTTTAAAAATCTAAGCACCTTTTTATAGCTTTATCTTGTATTTCAAAATCTGTTCTTACACACGCAGAAATTAATATATTTAACATACTATTTTTTTTACAAATGCATTGGGTCTGGATCATGCTAGCACTATCATCATGGAAATTCATACAGGATTTGGATATTCTACTCTGAATTGTCACTTACATTCATAAAAGAAAAATCGACATGCAAAAAAACGGATTTTAAAGTGTTAAAAAGCATATGACTGGAAACAGATAGAAGCCCAATGCTGAAACTAGGAAATCAGTTAGATGAAGGTTCTGCAAAAAAGGTGTCTGCAAACCCTAGGACTGAGTGGAAATGCTCCATGCAAACTACGCTTACGTAGGTGGAATGATGTAGGATACCTGGTTTGCAGTATAAGGAAAGACTTTGGGTGAAAACTAGACTAAGTCTAAACTTTTAGATCAATCATTTAGTCTACTTTCACTTAAAAAAAGAGACATAGTAACATAGTATTAACAAAATATTGCAGCTCTTAGTCTGCCTCTTTATGTGCCATCACTGGTGCGTTGTTTGACGAACGTTGATATTTTGCCAAAGGGCTCTGTTTCTATACATTGACCAAAGGTGTCTTGTTGGACCATCATAATTGTGAAGGAAGGTCTTTCTTCGTTGTCTGTTTAACAGAGCATCTTCATCAGTAAATGAGGCTATCCAGATGAATGGCCTCTATTCTGGAGATATGCTTGCCCCCCCCCCCCCCCCCCCCCCCCCACACACACACACACACACACACACACACACACACACCTATTGCCTTAGGAAAGGCAGTTATAGGTCATTTACTGTTAGACATGTTAGGTATGTCTGTTACACATCCAAATATTGAAGGTAAACCATTCAATAGTAAGCTGTTGATTGAAGAAAAAAATCCTTTTTCTAATAAGATAACTCAGTAATGAAATTCTTCTCTGATCTACCTATTTTGTAGACACTTTTTCATCCCAAACAGCCATGCTGCTAATTTGACAGTCAGAAGGGGGGAGGGGCAGTGGCATCATAATTAAGGGTGAAATTATTGATATGCAATGAGGCAATGCCACCTCCAAAGTCAGCATGGCATACCTGTATGGTTTCTCTGACGAACACCTTCCTCTTACTGGCGGGAGACTTGATCTGAGTGATGCTCCGTCCAATAGTCTGTCTGGCCGCAGCACGCGCCACGTCAGGAATGGTGGACTTCAGCTCCGTCTCCTAAAACATTGATAAAATTGAAATTAAGTAATTAATTAAATTTAATTAAACAAATTAATTAATTTGAAATCAGTTAAATATATAACCAGGAAAGTAGGATTTAAGCTTTCTGCTAGAATAAGGGATAGTTATTAAATGTTGAATGAAGTTGACGAGAATTATCTTTATATCTAGAGAGAAATCCTTCCTAGCATCTTCTTAATCTTAACAGTAGGTACAATATGCATTAAAATGCTAAGGCCAACTACATATATAAAAACAACTCGTATAGATGCAATATTTTATAATGAAAAACAATAATAAAAGTGATAACAACGTACTAGTAGATAGCGCTGCATGAAATAAAAAAGTGACGAGGCAATATGTAGTAAATGTGGATAATCATTTATGTCAGTGATCATAACATTTACAACACAACATTTACAACAATATATGATATCACTTGGTGAAACATGTATTGTAAAATATACATCTTAACTGCCATACACAAAATAACAGGTGACAGACCAAATTTAAAAATCAACAAAAAAGACAAATTAATTTTTTTCTGAGTATCCTTGTAAAAGATACTGAAGAATAACATTTAAACATTCAAAATATTTAATTCTAGTGTGTTGTTTTATTGGTTTCACCATACCACCTTTATGGCAGTGTGTAACAATGTCATGTTTAGGGAGTGATTTTTGTGATTTCTTAAAAAAACTGAACCACCCATCAAACATTTTCACATTATTTCTCCAAACACTTGTCATAAATTCAAGCAAGCTACTTGAGCATTCATATTTCAACATCTATTCTAGGCATGACTCAATATGTGAAAAAAAAAACACCTATAGAAAAAGTATATTTCTGAAACAAAACAATATCAAAAATGGCAGATATATATTGCACAGCGGCTTTATAAAAATATTACACCCATATAATTTTTGCATTCAGACTGTGTACAAATCTAAAAATGAACTCATATAAAACTAAAATAAGTGAAAATGAAAATGTACTATCAATAAGTGTAACTGACAATACATTTATTGAGCAAAATCAAAGTGATACTGATAATATATGAGCTAAATAAAAGTGAAACTTAAAGTATATGAGCTAAATGAAAGTGAAACTGATAATATCTGACCTAAATGAAAGTGAAACTGACAATATCTATCATTCCCTATTACCCACCTCAATGCTAGCTAATCTTGGATGCTATAGCATAAGTTTTAAGAAAAGAAATTCATGAAAAATTATTCAGTTGCAAAATTTATGGGAACCCGATGTTTGTCATGAAGAAAAAATTGTGGTCGTCAACGGGACAACATCAACTTTTTTCTTAAAGTCAGTCTGGGTCCTCTAAAATTTTGAAAATAAGTGAACAATAAAAAGTTCCATCTCAGGTCAGTGTTTTAATGGACACTTTGGCCACAAAAATATAACAGAGAAAACCTTCTTATTTCCTTCTAAAATCATAACATAAATTTTCAAATAAAATAAATCACCTATAATTAATGGTAAAAAGTACTAAAACTATTAAGAAAGTTATCAGATATCAAATAAGATTCAGATTAATGACTATTTACCATGATTTTCTGCTTCACTTTTGCTGAGTTAAGCGATTTCACTGGGCGTAAGGGGCTATTTGAAGAAGATCTAGAATCCTAAAATTAGAGGCAGAATGTGTTAGAGAAGACAATGTGTTTGAGGAATGTGTTAGAGGTGACACATGTTTATTGCTACAGTTTGACAGCTGTAAAATACTAAGCTCAGGGATCAAAACAGAATGCTGAAACAGGAACTGAGCCTTTTTTTTTCTTCAGAATTTCCCCTTTTTCAAACATTTTACACCATATCGAGCAACTTTCTTACAGTTTAAAAGAAAACCCTCTCAAAAAGGGACGTTCCCATCTCACAAAAGATAAGGGCAGAAAAGAAACTGTGCTTTTATAAAACAGAAATAAGTGAAATGTGTCAATTAATTAACAAATGAATAGTATTAGTTTATTATTATTGGCAGTGGCTCTCTTTTAGAAAGTTATTTGGATTGGAAAACTCAGAGAGGGTATGGTAGTGCAGACGAGTATCTTATACTCTAAAACAAAGTGTGTGCAGCATTTTCCATATTCTGAAATTCACCTACCTTGGAATTCAGCTTCATTGTCATTTGGCTGACGCGTGATGAGTCACTCACGTTGCTCCCCGTGCTTGAGCGTCGGCGTGCAGCAACAGGACGCAGCTCCTGGGATAAAGACAAACCAAATGTTGAAAATGTGAACCTCTACGATTAGCACTGTCTATTAAATTAATTCAAAAGATTGAGTTAGAGCACAGGTATAACTAACAAGTTTAAATATTTTACGATTGAAAGGCTTTACAGAATAATCTGTAAAATAAGCTAAGTTTTAAAAATTAAACACAAATATAGAAATTTAAGTCAACTAGTACAAATATTCAAATAGCAATTTGTTCCAACTTAATAGTGTTTAAAAAAACCAACATCTTAATTCTTTAAAAGAAAATAAAATGTAGCCAAAACCAATCAAGACAGTAATAATCAAGCATTATTATATCAGCCCTAGAGGAAGAAACACTGCATCAAAATTACCCAGTTCATAAAGCATAGGGGGAAAAAAAGAATATTCCTGTCCAATGTTTTTATATGTGTGCTTTGCTTACACATGTGTTATGTCACATACTGTTTTCCTAAAGATGCAACAGCTAAGAGGACTTGGCTCTTAACACCAAGGCCCCAATACCATTTAATAATCTGCAAGCTTAGATCTATAGCAAATAACTTTATGGAGAACAGAATGACTAAGACCTTGCTCCCATACTAACATCGACCTAGCTGGATTGATCCATCTCCAAGGGGTTCTTGCTAAATTGCATTCAGTTTTAGTGGCTTAGATGTCTGGCATGCCTACTGAAGCTGCTAAATGATAGTTAAAAACACCTAACAGCTTTGGCAGATGTGACAGACATTTAAGCTGCTTAAGCTGAATGCAATTTAGCACGAATCCCTATGGAGTTAGGCCGATCCTGTTAGATAGGTTTAGGTATGGAAATGGGGTCAAATAAGTCCCCAGAGCCAGAAAGCCATGCAGCACTGTGCCTTCTGTATGATAACTGTGCTACTTACTAGCATAATGTGATACATCTAATACTAATACTAAAACAGTGGATATGACTACTACTTTCCACTATACATGTATATCTTCACCATCTTTGGTTTGCCCGGTAATTGATAACATGCATGCAAATTGGATAACAGCCACAAAATTGTGGATGATTTTGTTTCTTGATGAAAAGTTACAGGTGTAAGGTTAATGAAGTGTTAATTCAATGTTAAATACTCCAATGTTAACTTGGGTCACTATAAAGTCCAAGACAGCATAACTCTAACAGTTGAATTACATTTCAAACACTTAATATCATTATCAATAAAAAGACTCTAATATAATGCCAAATATGAAATAGGAAAAGTAATGAACTCTAAAATATATTATAATGTTACAGATTGAAATGAATAGAGTTAGGCTGTCTGTGATAAAAGGTTAAAACTGTTAGTGACCTAATAAGATGGCCTTGACCTCTATCAATGACCTTGACCTTGACCTCAAGCTTACCTCTACTTTTGCAGCAACTTCAGGCTGTTGAGATATCAATATTAACTGTGAGTTTACAGTTACCCAATACTAACTACTGTAAATCCCTTATTGTGCTTTGTAGTTAAATAACAGTGGTTAATATTCTTAATTTATCTAATAAATCATTTATAATTTCTTTTTGTCTTTCAAAGCTGTGACGAGGTGAAGTTTATACCATTACGCCCATGCCATTTATTGTTGTTGACACATTTTTTTAAAAAATTGTTTAGTGATAATTTCGACATAAATGTCAGTGAAAACACACAGGGGTGGTATGCATTATGCCTGCACCAGACGGTAAAAACCCATGCAATTTGTCTACAACATTCTCATAGTCTTTTTAGGGAGTGAATTCTATGGGTACACAGTGAGAATTGAAAAGGCTTTTTATGGGGGGTGGGGGTGGGTTAAAGAGGGAAGTGGGGTTGGAGGGTAACATCTGAGGCCTTGTACATATAAGATGTAAAAAAAAAAAAACTCCTATTAAAAAAATAAAGTAGCTTAGGCAGAATAAAATCCATATTTCTTTCTACCCAGCAGCCCCCTTTTAAAGTCTAACCACTTCAATCACAACTTGTGGGCTGGACACAGGAGAAAACACTAAACCAGATACACCACCAATTGTCCAAAACACAAAAAGAATTTAGATAAAAATTGACAACATAATCAAAACAGCCAAAAAGATTATTTCTAGTTTGAAAAGTGCTTGCTACAATCATCAGTGAAACATCATTCAAATTGCCATCAGCATTTCCATGCACAAATATGTTACCTTTAGTAAAATGTCTCTCCAAACCATCTACAAATTCTAATAAAAAATTTGTAAGTGATGCTAAATAGCAACCCCAAAACCCACCTTGTTTCTCTTGAGTTCTTCCAATTTTGTCTCACATTTCAACAACTCATCAGAAGCTTCTTTGAATTCGGCATCAAGCTGGTTATACTCTTCCTCCAGATTCTTCCGCTCCGAGGAAACCTTACTCTGGATCTTCCTATCTCTTATTAAGTTTCTAAGAAATTTGGAAGAGTGACTTATGTACTGTCTTTCAGAAGTAGTTAAAATATTAATATTCAACTGACTTGAACCTTTATCTATGGATTTAAAAACAAAAATAATAGATTAACTCTATTAAATATTTTTCTTTATGAAAATTAAAATAATCCATTCTGTTCACATTTTTTATAATAATATCAGTAATTACCAGAACCTCCCCCCTCACGTCAAAAATGTCTTCACACTGTCCACATATTTTGTGACAAATGCTCTGCTAAAGACACCGATGCCAAACTTTTTTCCCTTAAAACACATTATTAGGAGACTTCAAACTTAATGCCCTACCTTTTCCTTTTCACCTGCCCAACCTTTTTCCTCCAATCACTGATGGTGTTAAGCAACTCTTCGAGACTGTCTCCAACAGATGATATTGAAGAATGCCGAGAATTCGAGGCAGATGATCTCCTAGAATTGTTATTTCCATTCACTTTGATTCCTGGAAAAAATTTACATACTTGTTTAACATTAGCAATTATATCCTTCTAGCATTTTTAAACTATATGAATTTTTTTTCCTTTGCAAAACTTTCAGAATTTCAAACAAGTAGAGAACTGATCACTACAAAATTTGCTCAATTCACAAGTAAAAAAGAGAAAGTCTGGCATAAAAAGTAAAATGCCTTTAACTTATTACAATCTTGGCATGACAACAAATGTATTGTCCTTAAAGACTCTCTATTCCTACTGATATTATATAAAATACAGTACTTTCTTCACGTCCAATTACTGGTGTACCTCCCCCAAATTATGTGACAAAGGCTTTTTATAGTATAGGGTCACATGACCCACATGACACAAAAAAGGGGCGCTAATACCAGATATACGAATTCATTACACCTATTTATATACTGTAGTTACTTATACTAAGGTATAATGTGCTATTATATATTATTAATACTATATACATGTGAATACCATATTACATTATTATAGAAATAATTGTTATCAGTTCTAACCAATATTTGCATTGATGTCCACTTTGGCACTGGAAGATGAATTACTGGAGCTCCGTGGTCGATCCATGGCCAGTTCGTCTATATCTAAATATTTCTGGAAAAAATTTCAAGTAATTGTCCAAGTTAAGTTTTGTTTTCAAACCCGCATTTATCTCGACTCCAACATGCAATGACCTTGAACGTATCTTATGACCTTGACTTTGTCCTCTGATTACTCTAACAAAGCACGATGACCTAGACCTCAAACAATGTTTAACCCGTCACTTTTTTAGAGTCCAAATTACTTATGTTTAAGATTATTGTTTAGGAAACCTAAGAAGGAGTAAAGTTTCTTTTCTTAACTTAAACCTATTTTTTACCAACATACAACTTACTTCGCTTGTAGACTCCAAGCTTGTATTATAGTGATCCCCAAACACATCCAGATCCTCGTATGTCTGTTCATACGCGTGTTCGTAAGGATCTTCGTCGGGTCTGGAGGAGGTCCGAATGTTCAGGGAGCCGAAACTTCTTTGTATTTGTTCGATGTCATCATAGAGGTATTCCCCATCACTGCTCGTTTCTTCTTTAATAGCACCGCCTTCATCTTATGGTAAGAACAAATAGAGTAAATCTTATATCTATGTCATCATTATTTGGTTATACAATTAAACTTCTGTTGTTGGTGAGAAGATCATGATGAATAAGTAACATCACCAACATTAAAATGGCACGTCAGGTATGTTACAGTGAAACATATGTCAGTGTGGTTGGTCTGTAATGGTGTCACATAAGCCACAGCATGATTCAGTGTGACAATGTAAATGCCAGTACCTTAGACAAACATGAAAATTCTCAGACATAAGCCTAAAATTTTCCGTACCGTTAGCTTACGGCCAACCTGGTCGAAGGCCTTCAACAGACTGATGTGAGTAGTTGTTCACACTCACTGACCACCAGGTGGTATAGCGGCCAGGACCCTTTTCATGGGTGGCTGGTGTCGGCTGATGTTGATAGCCTCTCGTAGGTGAGTGAACACAGGAAATCAGTGACTGTAGGCAATACCAGCTCTGCCATTTCTGAACATGTAATAGACACCGGCCACAGTTTCGATTGGAATTCAACTAAGATTCTTGAATCTGAATCATCCAACATCCCGCGAAAAATACGAGAGGCTATCAATATCAGCCGACACCAGCCACCCATAAATAGGGAGGGGGGGGGTTGATCTACCTGACATCTATAAGAGGGTCCTGGCCGCTATACCACCTAGCGGTCAGTGAGTGTGAACAACTACTCACGTCAGTCTGATGAAGGCCTTCGACCAGGTTGGCCGTAAGCTAACAGTACTGAAAATTATATGCTTGTGTCTGAGAATTTTCATGTTTTTCCAACATTTTTGAACATTTTTGCTCGCCAGTATCTTAGGTTTGACAGACTGAATAAGAGAACTGACTACATGCCAAGCATAAAATTGTCCAACGTGACAATATGTCGTTGGCCTAGGTAATATTTTACATGACAGTGTGTTTGTTGTGACACTGTAAGAAGTGATAATGTGCTAGATGTGACACTGAATAAGAAGTGATAATGTGCTAGATGTGACACTGTAAGAAGTGATAATGTGCTAGATGTGACACTGTATAGGAAGTGACATAGTGATAACAGGGACAATGATCAAAGTCAGTTGGTACAGCAAGGTATAAAACTCACCATCAGTGGCTGGTAACGCCTCCTCATACAGATTGCTCTTCCTGCTGCCAGCGCTACTGCTAGACATGGGGGTCTTCGGAGATGAGAACGCACAACCGGTTTCCTTGATAAGTTTAGCCAACCACCTTCCTTGTCTCAGAGTATTGCTAGCCTATTGAAATGTTAGTTAATTTCATCTAAAATCTTAACTGTCCATATATTTATTTACATTGTACTACACAATCTAATATCTTTATATCTTACCTACCTATTTATTTACTGGCTTTATTCATCTTATTCTGTTCGATTTATTCATGTTAAGTCTACTGAGCGTTTTGTATGGATTTTAGACTATAACTGAATTTCATCATTATTATTATTATTATTATTATTATTATCTAAACATTATATGCAGGTAAATATATAGCCAAGATCACAATGGTTTGTGTGTGACAAAACGTGCAAGTTGTGACTAAGATTGTAAAAGGATAACTCACTTCTATTATACACTTCTCATAGCCACCCTGTGAGATCTTTATTGCAAGTTCCTTCCCAGTTTCTGGTGCCTGGGAAATTTCACAACCATACAGCGCAAACACAAACTCTGGTGTCTCGTCGTTACTTTTTACGTAGCACTCGAGCATGCCGTGTCTTATGAGACACCAGCGCTCCGCCCAATCTGGGTTCTCACTGAGACTGCTCTGGACATTGAGGTGACCTGAATAAAGATTTTGAATACCTCATTTTGGTGAAAATGAAACATTATTTTGGTGAATATATCAAATAATGTGTGGGTGAAAGTTGTAAAAACTGAAAATCTTGGAAACTTAGCTTTCAATTTCTCATTGCATTTGGACCATATGAAAAACAAAACAATGAAATGAAGACTGAAAATCCTGAAATAAGGCATAATTTGACCTTCAACTATTCTGACCTTGACCTGAAATGACCTTGTCTTAAAATGACCTTGACCTTACCTGACATTGAGACATCTGTATCACCAGCCTCTGGGTCCATACTGATTGTATCCAGCGTATCTGATATGTCGTGGGAGCACGTGATTGTTAAATGTTTCTTGGACTTCTTTTTTCCAAATGTGCCAAAGAAATGACTGGCTCGTTGCCCGAGACTCAGAGAAGACTTTTTGGCATGGGTGCGGAGTTCAGCGCCATTGGTTTCTGAAATTGTTTTTAAAAGTATTCTTTATAGTTTTGGTAGTGGTTATTAATCCATTTGTACATCTTAAAGAAAATATTAATGAAAGCTGTGTCATATCATGTGATTTTTAAATCAACATGTTCATACTGCAAGTTTAAATTTTTCAAGGAAATAATCACTTTATTACTACTACTACAGTTACTGCTACTACTACTACTACTACTACTAATACTACTACTACTTATTACAAAAGTATTAAACATTATTTTGCCTAGCACACTGAATTTCTGATATTATAAGCATTAATGCATTTTTTTGAGTCTGCTTCTTTTGCAACAAAATTGTATTAAGCGTAATTTTTCTACAGGAAAAAAGTATCAAGGTCTGGATAATTTCATTGTTTACCTGATTTCCCTGGGGTTGGCTGCTGCCCTGTTCCCGTAGAGCAACCACCATCAGATTTATACCCAGCCTCTGTGTCAGTGTGAGTTTGAGCTGAGTGGGACTGGGATGGTGCTTCTTCAGATGCCACCTATTTTATAATATATATATATGCACACATAAACAATAAAATATATTTTATTTGTCAATTTGTTTGCAAAAAAGTGCTCCACCCATAGTAGCTGGCGAGCTTAGAAAGGACAATTTCCTGCACACACAAACACACACATATATTTTTTCATTAAAACTATGTTGAATTTTAAATATCTAACATTGCATTTGAAGTCAAATTTTGGCCACAAAAGCTGACCAAATGCCACTGCGTGTATTGTTTCAAACAGTACAACTGAGAGAAATACCATGTATTTCATTTCATCTTACCTGAAAAATGATATCTGAATTGATATTTTTTGCTTACTTTCTTATATAGCCAGGGCAGATAATTACGGCAGATAAGTAGGTCAAGCTATGACCAAAAATTGAAGAAGGTGCAATCTTTAAACTCTTTTATGGCTGATCTAGTAGTTAATCGGTTTATCCAAATTGGCAGGTCAACTTTATCAAAGTCATATAAGAACTAGTAAAAGTGGGTTAAATATGTTTCTAAAAAATTATGTTACAAACAGTTAAAAATCCCCACTGCAAAAAGTATATAACAGTTATTACCTCACTATTTTTCCCCATCACTATGAAATAGAAGTCACTCATATGTAGAGTATGTCATGTTTGACTTACAACTATTTCAACTGCGGACAAGTACGGCAATCCCATGCCATCAACATGTTTATCTTTATTTTATTTTGGGATCATATCAAGTCATACCATTACCTTTACTGATTATAATGACAGTTTTCATAAAACTTATGTAAAACTGTGAATCTCAGGTGTATTATTATGCTTATAAAATTGTATAATTTCATGTCTGCTAATTTTTGTTTCTGGTTAAAGAAAAATAACATCTCAGTCATTTTTTAATAACAAACTAAGAATCTCAATGGAGAGATAGCAAGGTTACCATGGTAACTAATATAGCAGTCACCATGGTAAGCGTACCTACCTTAGATTCAGAAGGAGTGATATTGTAATGGCTTGCTTGGTTGACTAGTACACTTTGAGGTGGGGACCCCTCTTTGCTTGAAAGGGGTTCAACAGAGGTGCGATCGAAACTCATACTGGAAGCTGACGGTGGTATATGATCCTCCGTAAAAGCAGCAGTGAGTAGGGCCTGAAAAAGCATAAATTAAGAGACATGAGCCCTTTTTTTTATTTCAGTTTAAGCATATTATAGGTCCTGTGTTACTTTACAACAGTTACCCCTTTCCAGGAAAATAGAACCACCGTTTTGATACAAAAAATGATAATAAAATAACAACAACAACAACAATCAATCAATAAATAAATGAGATATAAAATAAAAAAGAAAAAAAATATCAATCTATCATGAATCAGCATATAATAATAATATATGCTGCATGATTCAGGGGCGGAAGGAAGCCATCTTCTGGGTCAGAATTTTACACTGACACTGACACTGACAGGCATATATTTTTTCTGTCAGAAGATTATTAAAATTAAAGAATGGATCAACAAACATAACTTGGAAGACTGTCAGAAAATATCTCTGGATTTGCCCCTGTGATTGCTGTTACAAACAAAAACGTATTTATTTTACAAGATAAAACCAAACATACGCTCTAATTTTTAGTAATCTCTTTACCTGTAACCACGAGTCCGTACTGTCCTTTGTCTCTCCACTGAACCACAGTGTCTCGCAGCCAGGGTGGGAGATTCTTAAAACGTGATTCCTTTTCCCCTCCTTCTCCATATAAATAACATCATAACCTTGTAAATGTAGGTCTATAATTGCCTTCATGTCTTTCTCGTTTTTATAAACTAATAATCTTTTGTCACTTATTACGCAATAGCGTTTTGTCCATGTAAGTTTTCCTTTATGATACAGATCACCAAAGTGGGTGATATTTTTTAGAGTTCTAGTTGTGGTTGTGTCGCTATCAGATTCTCTGCCCTTTTCTTCTCTTTTAGTGTCCTTCTCTTTACTCTTCTTTTTCTTTTTTGATCGAATTCTAAAAATTAAAACAAAATATATAAATAAACAAATAAATGAAAGACATATTAGCCAGAAGGCTGTTGTTCTCAACAACTATTTTTAATGTCTTTCTGTTCACATAGCATATTTTTAATGTCTTTCTGTTCACATAGCATATCTTCAATAAGAAATTTATCCTTAATCAATTTTTCAAGCCAATGAGGCAATTATTACATATGCATCATACTATTCTTGTCAGTTTCTAATGCCTGGTGAAAATTTATACTACAATATTAAAGCAAAATATTTTATCCGTTTATCTGCCATCACCGAAACCCATTCCATGTGAATTTCACACATAAATCACAATTAAAGATGATACCAATATAATTTCCATTACACTTATAACAAAACAATAAGTGGCAGTAATGTCTCAGACCCCAACCCAAATTGTACATGAAACATGCATCAACCTGGACAGTATCAACAACTCCCTTTACAGACAAATTTTGCCCCACCTGTCCTCATAACATTTAATCACTGTACCACATTTTTTGCAGCAAAGAAATTCTTCACTGTCACAAGAACACAAATTTTTCATGTCCATGGCTAAGAGCAAACATCTATACTACTAACAAATCTGTCAGTGATCTTAATGGATACATTTAACAATAATTCAATCAATTCAATCAGGGATGTGATTTTTTTTTAATGCGTACGGGGAGGGGGGGGGGGGGATTGACAATGTTTTGCAATTATCCTGGAAACATTTAAATAATCGAAGTTAAAAAGTTGATATCCTGAAAAACAAAAATCACATCCCTGGTGTATGCCATGAAATTGCCATATTTGTGCACGAGAATATAATTTATAAACAGTAGTGACTGATTATTAGTAAGTGGCAATACAAGCAACTATTTAAGATATTTCAGTGATGTGAGTATAAAATGCTATCTTTACTAGTAATTCTGAATGTAATTTGGACATTTGGGTATTTTCAATACTTCTGAAGTCTGTGATGATTCATTTTAGCATAGGCCTACTGGCCCATCATCTTTTTTCAACACCAATATCTAATTTATTTTGGCCCAAAGTAGAAACAGTGACTAGAAACCGAACAAATTTGCAAAACGTTACTAGCCCTGCTGCAATTTGAGTTGCATTTGGTATAGGACAAGTGTTAATATCACAGACTGCTTTTGTGAATCTCAGTTATTAAGAAAATATTTTATTTCATTTTTGACAGGGATGGTTTAAGACAATGAAGGGGGGGGGAGGGGAGGATTATACCCTGAATCTGCCCTATGAAAATATGAATGTTAAGGTAACCCAGGTAGTAAGTAATAAAACAGTGTCAATTTTTATATGTTTAGTTACATCAGTGAAAATGTTACTGCTTAAGTGAAAAGTGATTGCTCAACAATAAGATCATAATAATAAAACAGCAACTTTGGAGAAAGGTTAACATTGACTATGAAGTGCAAACCAGAGAAGGAATGGTCCTGATAGATTTGGTGAATCTTCAAACTTTAAAAATTTGCATGATAAAATAGGTAACCTTAAATCCAATTTTTACTATCAGGACCTTCAGAAATACTAGTGTCCATAAAAGTGCAAATCTCTAGGTTAAAAATACATTTGATGCCACTCAGAAACCATGTGATTTCACATTTGGGTCACGTGATCATTTATATGGTCATGTGACTGACTCAGTGGTCATGTGATTCACTTACCGTACAAAGAAATCTTCAGAGGGTAAAACAGGGCTAAGGAAAGAACACGCAGAATATAGACTGTTGTTGTGGGGTTATTATGGTGTGCTTCAGGAATATAATTCTAATGGTGAATAACCCTGAGATTTTCTTAAACAAAGGTCTTGACCAGTCTTACAATAAAACTTCTGCCCATAAATTGGTCAAAACTTTCCAACCCTAAACTTGGTCTTATCTAAGTATAAAATAAATCTATAGTAGTGGTCAAAAAATAAAGTATCAGAATGAAATACTTAGTAAGTCTGGTTATCATAGATAAATATTTTAGACCAAATATCAAGCTATATAAAAGCTCTTTTGTGTAAGAGATAATTTCAGTATAGCTTGGTCAAACTGAGCTGTGGTTCATTCCAATCCAACAGTGGCCTACATTCTATTCAGTTTCAGGCCAACCCATCTGGGACCCACAAATACCCATATTCAAGCTACACTGGGAACCCATTAATGATCCACAATGGACCCATATTGTCCCCAGATGGGGATGCTGACATGAGAAAGGATGGATTGTAATGTGAGAGTCAACAGTATGTATATAATATTGTGAAATGGACACAGTTTTTTTTAATATGAGTTCAAGAATGAAAATGCATTAACCATCACCTTAAAAAGCAAACTTATCTAACAGATATGCGATATCCAAATGTAACACAACCATTGGAAAGTGTACTTACAATCATGGCATTTCAGGGACTCCAACTTTATGATATCATTTTTTTTTAATTTTTGTTTTTAAAGCATAATTGAAGGACTACATTCTTAATATTACTTACTTTTTTCAACATTGTTTGGTTTCATTTTCTTATAAAAAGTAACAAACAAATTAATTGTAACTGACAATTACAGCATACACTTACATGCTGAATGCTCTTAAATTCAGGCATTTCATTTTACCTTGGATTTGACTTCATATCAAAAATAGACACATTTGAAATAATTCCCATTTCTTCTCCATTGTTTGATACCTTACCTGGGAAGTGGAATGTCTTGTTCATTAAGGCTAGGGATACGCTCCATGGGAAATGGGGAGAAAACATCGCCATCCTCTTCATCATAGGTTTCGTACGATGTGTCGCTACCTCCATCATCTATAAATAGACAGAATTCTTTACTATTATACCATGCATCTCCTTATATTCTTTTTGTATATTTTTTTATATAATCATTCATTTATATTTTTAGGTAATATAAGCTATTGGTATTTTTTTCATACTTAGGCAATTTCATTTCTATTTAGTTCCACTAGTGTATTCTCCACTTATGATTTATCTAAATGGATTAATGTTCTTTAAACCTTTTTGTATAAATGTTCATTTATATGTGTAACCGAAGCACTTCTATATGATTACTCATTTATATTCGTGATTTATTGGAATAAACTTTCATATTTTTTGCATCATTACTTATTCATACTTATGTATTTTCATTTGATGCTATGTGCAGTGTAAATGCATTATTATTTTTCTAAAATTATCATCATCATGCTAATCTAATTAAGAAAACTACAATATTTTATCATATAAGTTAACTGGTCCTCTGCATAATTCATCGGAATAAATGTCTATTAGCAACAGAAAAAGATATTTATATTCTGGCAAAAATTCTAACACATTTTGGTCTTGACATCTCAATAGATAATTCAATTCACTGTTAGCCTTAAAAGTACATATGAACTGAGCATTGGCTGAGCATGGATTCCCATTAACACACATAGTCCACTTCTACTAGTTTCTTATACAACACAAATAAAGTCGACATGCCAAGGGATAAACTGAATAAATCACTCGATCAGCCATAAATACACTTTAGACTGCTCCTTTCTTAAAATTTTTGGTCAGATATTTAGCCTAATTATGTGACCTACTTTTCTGCTCCATGTATTTACAACATAGAAAGCTAGCAGAAAAATAAGTTCAAATATTATTTATCATTTTTCAGGTAATATGAAACAATGTCTTTTGGCAAATTTCTTAGTTATACTATTTGAAAATACATGCTGGCATTTGGTTCGTTTTAGAGGCAAAAAATTGACTTCATATGCATCTTTAACCCCATAAATCTGTCATTTTAAGGGTAACAGGTTATAATACCTATATACAGTTTCGTCCTTGGGTTCATCTTAGATCTTATCAGAAATAAACGTCTAGCACAACTTAATATAAAATTCTGACACTGCATTGGTTAACCTCAACACATTTAAACAAAGTCACGAATGGTGTCAATGTGTCACAAATTGTAGTTCTTAAAACTTATCTACATGATCTTAGACTGAACAAGGTCAGTCATTTCTAGAATAAAAGAGATAAAAGGACTTTCGGTATTTTTTTTTTTTTTTTTTTGTCAAACAATAATTTGAGTTCTTCACGGCATCAAGAATAAGAGAAATTCAAGTTGAAACCTAAAAACTACTTTGATACATCTCTCTCCCTCAAGTCAGATTCAATCTTCTATGCAAAGAATTTTCATTTACAGGATAGATTATGCATACAGTTCCTTGGCTCATTTTTGTTTTTAGAGTGGATGCAAGTCAGCATGTAGCCCACATGTGTTTCTCTACTCAAAGTGAGCAAACAATACATGTCTGAAGATGTGGGCATATGGGTATGTGTGTGCCAGCAAGTGCAGACACAAGCACAGGTGTGTTTCTACACACGTATTTCAAGATGTATCCTACCTGTCTGGTCTAGCCCCTCCTCTCTCTGCAGAGGTTCCTCATACAGATCTTCCTCAAGTCCCCCTCCATGGAGTGAGCCATTGGTGCGGGGGAGGTCACTAGAGAACAAAGATCACATAGATTACAGCTTCAGCTTGAAAATGCATACAGCAAAATAAATAAATAAATAAATAAATAAATAAATAAATAAAAAAGAGGGTGTTGACCATCATGATGTAGGCATATATTTTTGGAGAATATGACCTGAATATGACACAGCCCTACATCCACACCCCTCCGTAAAAAAAAAAAAAAATAATAAATAAATAAATAATTAATAAAATAAAATAAATAAAACAGCGACAGAACATTGATAATAGAAATTCAGTTAAATAATAAGGATTGCAGGACAAAATTTTGCTTATTTTTCTCAATATGCCTAAAATCCATTTTATGTTTATGTTACATTTTATGTTTCATCTCTTTTTCAGTGTTTGGTTATCAAACCATGCATCCATATGATATAATATTAATATAAATAATAGCAAAGTCACTGAATCATATTACAAACATGGCTGTCTGATTTAATCATGACAAAAGCCAATAAATACCGCCCACCAATAAATAGTTCATACTGTAGGGGTTTCAAAAGTGTGTATCTTTCAATTAAGTCATTCTGGCCACTCCGAAATGTTTACATTGTATTCTATGGATGGCAACTTGTGAGTGTTCAAAGACTATATGGGGGTTGACTGTTAAACATGAGTTCGCTATCTTTATTGTCATAATTGGTTGGACATACGAGCATGTCACATTTGACGACCCTCCTCTAGTATTTTAACCTCTTTATTTCCAGGTTGAAAGAGTCAGATAAACATTTCTGAGTTTTATGCTGCTAAGTTTGAAGATCACTCGTCAAAATGTACTGCAGATTGCTGAAATCAATTATTGTTGTATCGAAATATTGCAAAGGTTTGATGCACATTTCACCACAGGACACACTAATTTTAAAAAACAGATAATTTTAAGTTTTATATGGCATGTTATTAGATTTATATAAGATGAATGAGTTTGCTTTAATTGAGAATAAGATTGCTGTGTCTTGTCATGACATCAAATGTGACAGAATCCCATGAATGGCACTGTGTTACAGTGTTAGATGTGACAATGTATTAGATATGACAGTGTGCTGGGTGTGACAGTATTCTCTGTGAGATCACTTACTCAGCATCTAAGTCATCATACAGCCCAACACTTTCTGCATCACTATACTGAAAGAAGAAAAGAAAACATCTTCCAAAACAAATCCTGACAAAGAGTCCATAGAAAAAAAACAACTAAAAGGTAACAATTATGTGTTATTTCAAATGGCTTAAATTTTAGACAATCTGATTTAGCAAGTTTTGTTACAAGTCCAGTCTAAACTACTTCATAAGAAGATCTATTTATTGTACACACTTAAAAGTGAACCTGGACATATTATAGCAAACCAGTCAAAAATATAGGGATATTTTCTTCCCAGAAAAAGGTAACTTAGGCATCACATGAATCTATTGTGCTTACTGGGTTTTCATCTTCCTTTTCCTTCGCTTTTCGAGTTGAAGCTCTGGAAATCTGTCGTTGTTTCTCTATAAAATCTTCCTGTTCTGGCTCAGGAGGCGGAGGGACTTCAGGAGGTTTGGGTGGAGCTCTATGGAGGCCTGAAAAAAAACAACAGACATTAAATTTATCATAATATATTGCAAATAGAAAAATGGAAGCTGCAGGCCTTATAAACAGCGTTTACTAACACTACCCACAGATCTCTTAGCACTAACGCCCATATCAATCACAAATCCCATGAATTAACCAACACACCATACAATTATTTAGCACCAACAAAGCGATGCCTAACACTAACATTCATCTGCTCTGGTAGTGCTGGTGAATTTGTGGCTTAGGTGGTTAGTATGTGTGTCAGTGCTAAAAGATCAGCCTAATCCATTTATAAGACCTGAGCTAGAGACACAGCCATGTGATGACAACCGTGGCCTCTGAAAATATTACGACTGGTGAAGACCCGCAGCCTGGGTCTCAAAACCAGCATAAACCAGCTTTCTTATTTTAGTATTTCCTTGAGTGCTGCTTGTCATGTGTGAACTTCAGCAGTATTTTTGACTAAAATTCACTGGATCAATCATAAATGTTAGACGAGTATATCAACTGCACCATGCACACTTCTGTGAGAGCCATAAATCATAACGGCAGGATACAGTGTGGTGAACACCAATCCAACCCACCACTGTTGGTTGGAGTCCACAAAATGTGAAAATATTGAGAATAAAAAATAAAGAAGTTGGCATTGGCCTGAAGTTCAACGTACAAACTTCCAAACCAGACCACTTTTTTTGCTGAATATCTACAATATCTACTAGAAATTCTTTCAACTTCAATCCTAGAATATGAGTTAAGTGTAAACAAAGGACCACACAATACCACACTCAAAGCCCACTGATAGAGTAAAGTAGATTTGTCAAGTATTCTGAAAAATTTCTTCTCCTTGAAAGAATTACTTGCTCCATAATGGAGACAAATAGAGAGTTCTTGGTATGAAGGGCTTGTGCTTTAGTACTCTTTGTCAAGAATTCACTGAGTGCAGACGACTTGTGCAGAAATATATCGATTTCAGGGCAATTTTCATTAAAAAATCATATATATATTCAATACTGAATACTATGAGTACAAAGAAGACACACTTTGCTTGAATAACTGGTTTTGAAAAGAATAATTCATGTTTTTTTTTTAATATGTATTTCTGGTCCCTATGCAGCTGCCTATAGTCACGCCTGCACGCCTTAAGTGGAAAAACTTAAGTGGAAAAACTGGTGAAAAAATTCTATACTCTTTTAAAATAATTCAAAACAAATAATAAAAAAATGTATGTTTTACAAATGCATTTACTCTGATACAGAAAGAAAAACTCAGTCTTATAACCCACAATTAGTAAAGACCAATGAGCATGGCAATAAGAATCAATGGAAGCCATTGTCTGAAGGGAAGACATTCTGTAAATGTTAACTCCTTTGGCCGTCTGTCTCTTAGCCAGTTCTGGTTCTTACTCACACAGAAGATAGAACAATGGCTAGGGCCATTCTTTTCATTACATCATCAGTAATTACTACTACTGTGATTCTGCCAACCATCTGTGGTTATTTTTTTGATCCAAACAATACCATAAATCACCATCAAACAAGGCTCCCACAGACAATGGCTGACTTTATATTGGATTACTTCTGATTGGTTCTTGCATTGATGTGGTTTTCACTGCCATGTCTCATTTTTTTGTGAAATAGTAATTGGTTCAGTTCCAAAGTATATTGTAGTAGAAACCATTTATAATTTATAATTTGACTGTTATTGGTGTTGTGTCAATGGTGCAAGATCCCTTATATCATTCCTCTCATCCAGAAACAAAGCAAGAAACTGCAGAGCACTGCAAGACCTCAAAGAAGAGAGCCAATACAAGATTGCATGCAGAACTGTGGCCCAACAGATCTGCAGATCAAATATGACTGACCCACTCAAATGCTTGTTGTGTACTCCCCACGGGGAATCTATTCAGTGTCTTTTTGGGAGTTAAAGCGCAAGTTTTTAAGTGGGTCGCCATATTTCATACGCAGATCGCAGCTAGTCTGCTGTTAAGAATGCGGTCCAAGATTCTTTAAATATACCCCTTTTAGATAAATCTTGTAATCATTTTTTCCTACACAACTATCTTGTCCTGAAAAATTCACCAAAATTTGGAAATGACTTTTATTGAGATGTCTTACCCACTATCAAACAGACAAACCAATCCATGAAAATATAACATCGGATCCTTTACTGACAGAGGGAAAAATGTGATTAGGGAAGTCAGATATTTGTGGGAGTTGGTATCAGACTCTAACCCAGCTTCAATGTGAGGTTATATCTTAAACTGTACCAGTACAGACATGTTTTGGAACATGTAGAGAACCAGACGCTTTGGGAGTATCCAGGCTATTCATGCAAACACATCCTAATGAGTGTTCGAGCCACATGCAATCAATACTCTACTTAAGGGTTCTTTGTCTTATTCACTTGAGACATTCCATGCTGAGAGCTGACACTTTTTTTTATACCAGCAAGCATTTCAGTGATCATCTGCGGCTACGACAACCAAGCTATTCAATAACTCATACTTGAGATAAGTACTATAAAAATTTATGCAATTGATGTTATGGCATATAATGAGGACTTATCCACATTAAAACTGACTGAACAATTCTAATCCATGTGTCAGTCATGTGCACATAAAAAACCCTTGCAAATGTACAATTTCCTGTTTCTCTGACTGACAAAAATCACAATTAAGATATTAGAAAATGCAGGACTTATGATTCAGGGTGAAAAACTTGCAATGAAATAAGCTGGAAGGTGTTTGAGTCATGCAGAGATACATATCTACTTTTTTTGTCAAGTATATCTTATTTAAATTCTACCACTCTGTCAAGTAAATCTTTCTAAAATTGTAATTTCAGAGCTAAATTAGTAACATAGGATGGGGGCCAGTCACTGAAGCATGTATAGAAAGGCACAGGGCGCGCGCGAGAGAGAGAGAGAGAGAGAGAGAGAGAGAGAGAGAGAGAGAGAGGGAGGAATGCATTTTTCATAGTCTGCTTCAATCCTCTACTGTGTAAATGTTTCAGTCACATATATTGTACTAAAGACTGACATGTTTATAGATCTTGTTTCAAATTCTGCCATGATGCGATTAGTTATTAATCATAACTATTGAGGTTGATGACTGCCATTGTTTTGAATCATCCACTATCAGGGCCCCCCTTTGAAACTATTGTTTCACAAACAGGCATAGCAATCTAACTGTTACCAAAGAAACACTCAACTGATAAATACCCACATTCAGGGCCAATATTTCAACTATTTGTTCCCAAATCATGTATAATGGCAGGTCATATTACTTAAGAGCCTGAATCCTGTGTTTTATCCATGATCTGTGGCCCCATCTTATTCCACAGTGACAAAATCAAGAAGAAAGAAGAGTGATTTGATTGAGCATCGCCCCCTGGGGCTCACAACAATACTTTCATTCTGAAGATGGAGCAGACGACATCTGTGGGACAAAATGCAGAACCGTATTTACTTGAATTTTTCAATGTTTCCATTATTTTATTTTTCAAGACTTATCAATTTTAGGTACTCGTAAAAAGTGCTGAAGTGATGAAGCGTTCTTATACTTCAAAACTTCTAAATCAATGTACTAGTAACATAACACTGATTTGAATAATATTATTTACTTATCTTGTCCAAATTTCATAAACAATCACCATAAATATTAATGTTTGATTAACTGCTGTCTCCTAATTTTATCTAGACACATTTGCAAGAAGACAAGAAATCATTATGAAAGTTTCTTACTTCTAAAGTAAAAAAAAAAACTGGTAAGATCAGCTAAGGATAATGTACTTCTGATTTTAATTGTACTGTACTGAATGTCACTTTTGTCTCCTAAAAGAAAAAAAAATTAAGTGTTGGGGAAAAAACAAAGAAAGTGGTGGTCTTCACGTGGTGATCCAAGGACATACAAAATATTTCTACAGTGGAAATCTGCACTGATAGACAGTTGTGTCCTCGAAAAAAAATCTGAGAAGAAAGCACTAAGAGCAAAGTGGGCAGCTAGGGTATTTCAAGTGGATTTGAAAATTTTGCACTTACTACATGACGCAACACAAATATCACGAACATAATGTTAATTCTGTATTAGTGCAGACCTATGGATCGCCCATCAACACTATGGATTGCCCATCATTGCCCCGAGGCATATGGTACTGGCTTTCATCCACCCAGCCGAAACTCTCCTTTACTGTAAATCCCTCCGAGATTCAGAGTATCAACAGAGACTTCATGGGTGACAGTAGAAAAAACTCAAAATCCTGAAAAAGTAGCTAGCAATTTCCTATTGCATTAAGAGGATATGAAAACTGCAACTTGTCAAGTTGGGGTGATCAAAAATTGTCTGAAACATCCACACTAGTCCTGAAAATTTAGTGTACTGTATGGAAGAGATATCTGTGCATCTCAAGAATATCTGGACATGAATGATGTTATTTTTGTACATCTTGGATGGAAAATGGATGAATCCACGGCATTTCACCATCTGTATCTGTCACGCCACCATAACTCAACTTTTCAGCGGATTCTATGCAAAACAACAAAGAAGCTGTAGGTGAAAAATTATGGCCATGAAAAATACAAACAACCTTTAAACGTGATACGAGTCCAGGGTCCACTTGGTCAAAATATCTGGAGCCACAAAAACCAAAGGACCCTGGATACACTGAGGGTTCAAAAAAGGACAAATCTGGGTGGAAATAAAACTTTTAGAGGTTTTAACTTGATGACAGGACGCAAGGGGTCCCATTTATCAAGCTTACTGAAATTAAGTGACTACACTGTGGTACTTAACTGACAGCAGGATTTTAGGTACAGAAATGTCTGAAAAGTAATAATTTTTATTGCATAACCCCAAAAGAAAAGTACAAATTGATTAAAAAACTATTTTTTATCTCTCCCACTCACCCTCACACACACCAACACTAGGACATTTACAATATCAGTGGTATCTGTAAAACAATAACAATATATATACAGAACTAAATAGACAGAAAAAAACAGACTACTAGGGATAATGTATGAGCAAAGAGAAGTAATTGAATATGTAACGGAGAAGTCATAATATGATTTGGGTTTATGCCAAACAGACTGCTTTGTAAGTCACCAGAAATAAACAATCGAGGAATTATGAAAATATTGTAATAAGTGTGTTTTAACTTGGTGACCAATTACCACAAATGCACCCAAATTCTGACAAACAAATACACACACTTCCATACCCCAATCTATGCAAACACCCTCGGCTTCGGACAACCTGTTTCACCTTACGATGTTGCACTCGGCAACTCTCAAAATCGAGCTCTATAATCATGGGTCAATTGATAATAAACACAGTTCCTAGGATAAAATAAGATTTAAAAACAGGACAGTGGTGAGTCACCACCAACTCTCACTGGTCTCTAATAATATCATAAGGTCTTAATTAAGGATGAATGGATATGTGTGTTTTGAAAATGTGAAGGAAAACATCCTATTTTTCAGTATTTTTTGTGAGAAATTGTTTCCAGGTTTTCAATGAGGCTGTTGTTGTCTCCCTTTATTCCTGGTGCACCAGCAGTGAGTAACATAATCCATATCATGAAAATCATAACATAATATGCTATCTAGACTCATATCTTTGATTTTCAAAATCAATCTGACACATCAACCAAAAAAAGAAGTAGTATAAACAGTGTGCATTCACTGAGTGAGAGTCCTTGCAGAGATCTGGCAATTAAACCTCAGAGCTGTGATTTAATCCGTTTAATGGCATCTGCAAAGGTGGGGAGACCATCAGCAGATTAGTCGGCTCATCTTTCATGTATGGGCCGCCATATTTAATCTGTGGATCAGAAGTTCCTCGAATCTCCTGTTCTGAATGGCCTCTAAGGCCCCATTCAGAATAGAGAACTAACTAGTCCGAGGGTCAAATATGGCTTGCCATCTAATCCGCTAATAGACATTGGATAGATATCCCGAGGGGAAATATTCAAGTGGGTCAGCCATACTTCACCACAGGACAAGTTAGTCCCCTATTCTAAATGAGGCCTAAGTAACAAGATACAGGGAATGTCACACTGACCTCTGAAATTCAAGGTCTTACAATGTTAAGATGATTACTAAATATGTCTTACCTGAGGGTCTGGGTGGTAAGGATGGAGGGAGTCGAAGAGCTTCCAGTCGTTCCACGTAATACTGGCGTTTCTTTTCCCCAAGCGACGACATGGATTCTTTGGCAAGGAAAGTGCGGAGGTAGTCCTCGATGCCCGGTAGCATCTCTGAAATGATAATTACGTATGTTTATTTCATGGATTTTATATCCATATATTTTGGCCACACTCTAATTGAAATAATAAAGGTTATACAATTCTAAATTTGAGAGTCAAACCCCAAGTTAATTAATAATGAGATTTAGAACTCTTCAATTTGTACACAATAAGGTGAAACTCACAATTAATTCTCACTAAGCTATTCATTATACACTGCCACATAACTTCAGTGTAACTGATGAAGTCCCAAGTGTTGGGACAAAAGCTTTCCAGGTATGCTTTCTGATTATTGTGTAGAAATTAAACAGTTTTAAACTTCATCATTATGAGTAACACTACAGCACAGATCAACTTTCCTCAGAAAACCTTATGTTTACTTTCAAGTAATTTTAAAAATATTTTAACGCAACCCTATTTCATAAACTTGGAATTAAATCTTCAATCTTTTAAGATATATTTAGTCAAAACACTGTGCCAAGACATCATTTTAACCATATACTAGAATGTGTTTTTTTTTACTACATTTGGTTTTAGGGTCACATACAGTTAAATTTCTGGATAGTATTACACAATATGTTTCATATACTAATACTTAGGTAAACATGGAGGGGAGGGGGAGAGAGGTAGTCCTCAAAAAAGAGGGGGGGGGATTTTTATTCTATTTCATTCTTTACTTATTCTTTAAAAAAACTTTATTTTTCTTTGAAGGCAGCATTTCAAATATATAATCCCCTTTATTCATGACTAGTTTGCGCACTTGAAAAGAAAAAAACTATTACTCATTGGGAGGTCAGAAAAAATGGAGTAACAAAACATTTGCAAGTTCAGTGTTCAAAACAACAAGACCTTTAAGTCCTGCCAAGAACTCAGGTGTACGAAAAAAGCCCAGATTAAGCAATCTAAACATGTACCAGGTATCATAACCTCTTGTCTCCGCTATCAAGCTTAACATCTGTTTTTTTACATGGGAGGACTCGAGAGGGCATGTGTTTGTATAATAAATATATCAACCTTATCGTTTTTGTCAGTGTTATAATCTCATGCAGCTTGGTTATCTGAACATTAAAACAAGTTTTGATGCAAGGGAAAGTGTGTGTGTAAAGTAAAAGAATGATAAGTTCACTTCTTATATATTACACTACAGATGCGTCTCAGTGCAGTTTGTCTTTTCCTGTTTGTCTTTTTCCAGTGACTGTTAGCCTGTAGACTTAGAGTTACAGAAAAACAGTGTTTGATATTTCACGCTTCTTTATGATTGGGGTGGGGGTAAGATGGAAGGAAAATATTGTTTCTTTTCTTTACTTAACTATTTACTGTTGGTTTCACACAAGGGTATCATAAATACAGGACAGTATATAGCACGAAAATTCATGCGTTAGCACTCCTACTGGCGGTTCTGATATATACTGACTGCAGCACAGGACCATCAATAGGAGTGCTAGCGCATTAATTTTCGTGCTAGACAGTATGTTATAGATGTTATGCATGCCATGTTTTTATAAATCATTTTCATTTTTCTTGAGATATGCTTGCTATGGTGTCCTGACTCTCTAACCTTTGCTGTATCAGTTTACTGAGAGGAAGTCTCAATAAAATATATCATCCAGGGTTCATGTAATATTCCATAAATCAGCAATTTTTTTTTCTTTTTTTTTTTACTTGTGTTGCAAGGAGTACGTGTACTCTTATTCCATAACTAGTTAATGCACTTTGATCATTTAAAAAAATATTTGTTAAGATTCATAACAAAGTTCTAATTTCAGGGGACGAAATAGCTCATTTATATCTCACTTCTGAAATAAAAATCAAAGCTACCCTATGTAAGCTTATAAGGGACTACATAACTTGTAAAAGTACTTATAAACGGGACACTTTTCAGTCAGGGGAAGCAATACCTAGTGAAGATTTTTGTCAATGAAATATCGGACAAGTCTCACAAAGAGCACCTCATTAGTTTTTACCTGGCTTTCAATGAACACACCAGGGGTGGGGTAGGCAAGAAAAGCCAAGGTAAAAGGAACATATTAATACCCGTTGAGCTGTTGGAGTTGGCCCCCCAAAATCGTTACCTTGACCTTCTGACTGACCTTTGTAAACTCTTTTCTGATTCCCATACATAAATGTGGATGATGTACTACATTATATGACCTTGTTTCTACACTCTGTCCATGAAATAAAGGTTTTAATCATGAACTGTTAGCTTGCAAATAAAGACTGTATATCTTTTTATAAGAACTACCAAAATGTGTAAGAAGACAGCTTGAGAACATTTGGACCTCAATTTATTGCATTCTAATTTTTTGACATTCTGGATACGAGATCAAAAAATTGTGAGAAAAACTCCAAATCAGATGCTTTCTAGTATGCAGGCACATGAGCATACATGCATATACATGTGGACAAACATATGCAGATTCACATACAGTACTAGTATATTATAAATATACACAAATAATTGTGAATACATTTTCATTCCAGGTGAAATGACCCTAGTCATTTAGAAATATTGGAGGTAATACCCACATATTTTATAAGCTCTTGATAAAAAGAAATACGATAATTTAAACATTTATTTGTCTTCACGTACAGCAGAACCTGAACCTCTAAACTTGCACTATTTCTCCTCAAAAATTCTACAGCACCTGTTCTTTTTCCCTCAGAAGCCTTCAATCCCATAATAAGAAACAGCTCACAGTTGCTACAAAGAGAAATTTCCATGAATTCGAAGTACAAGCTCTTCGTAAATAATACAGAATATGGCAAGACCTTTCAGAAGACTGCACTTTGAATTTGGTCTACTGGGATTTATAAATATTTGTTTGGCAATATAGGAAGTTGGGGTAATTCCTGAGTAAATCAAGGAAGCTATGAAACCTTTCAGTCTTAAACTGCCTGGTAATAAGGAACAACAAACTGGCTCCGAAGAGGGTCGTTACTGATGCTAGGTTTGCAACATTCTGTTATCTTAAAGACTGTTACTTTGCTGTAATTGAGACAATGTGAGGAACACACATGGACAAAATTAAGGCAAGCCATTTTGCACGTGTTCTCAGTCACTCACACACGTGCTCACACACACACACACACACACACACGCAGAGAGAGAGAGAGAGAGGTCATAAAAGACATCATCACTTCCATGAATGAACGATAACAAATCAAAAAGAATTAGAAGGTAATAAAATTACAAAGTAAAAAACAAACAACAATGCCAAAGAAAGAAAACTAGACATGGCAAACGACACCAAAGGTATTGGACAAAACCAAAACCTCTTATGACATGAAAATAAATAGGTTTGAAGTATTTCCCCTAATAAGAAGTATTTTATAGCGGCAGTGGAAGCCACAAAGGCCACAAGAGTCAAGTTTTATTACCACAGTTGGAATGTTGTAGAGGTTGTAATGGTCCATGACGAATGAGGTGATATCTGACCCTCGGAAACATGAACTAAAATAATTTCATTTCTACTTGGTTCATTGTGAAGCCTGTTGCAACCCTATCCAACTTCTTTACATCAAAATAAATAAACTATTTCCATTTTTTTCGTAATAATTAACTTCCTCAACTCTTTTCTTGCAATAAGGAGACTGCACTTCTATTACCTAATAGTATCTGTGTAGTTTACGATTACTTAATTTTTCAACATCCAAATTTGCCATTAAAAAATATCTCAATTCTGAATCCTGATATAATATAATGCTGGATCTCATACAGTCCAGTTTCAAATTTTAGCAAACTAAATAGACAAAGTCTAACAAGCATTTCCAGAAATTGATCCGTAACTACTATATACTACTACACCACTGTACAGGAGCAAGAAGGCGGTGTCTCTGTCAAAAATGTAGTTGTGATCTAATCAATCTTCTCGCAAACACCTGTGAGAGCAATGAGAGAGACACAGCTGATGGGTGTACATGAACAGAGAGAAGATCTGTGTCTACACCATTTACCTGGTAGCAAGCGAGTAAGAGGGGTTTAATGAGAGAGAGAGAGAGAGAGAGAGAGAGAGAGAGAGAGAAGTGTGCAGACTGAAGAAGTGTGCAACCCAAGGGCAACTGAAGCCTTCTCCCACAAACAAAATATGAGAGAGAGAGAGAGAGAGAGAGAGAGAGAGAGAGAGAGAGAGATTATTAAGGTCTTCTATCAAAGATACTCCTGCCAAATCAAATTTCAAACTCAGACCTCAGACTACATATCTTAAAATGAACATTACAACTGACAAGAAATACATCCAGACACAGCTGATCTGAGGCAATACATCTTAGGTTGTTACAAGTTGACAAGAAATCTCAGATTACACAACCTAGGCTGCTACAAGTAGACTAGAAACGCACCCAGACACAGCTGATAGGCAAAAGCTGTAAGACACCTGATCCCAGACAACACATCAGACCTGGAAGCAACTGTCTGGTCCAGAGGAAAGAAAACACCTCTTGGCAGCTTACTACAACTGTCTACTTACCTGTCTGATTAATTATATCCTTTCTGCTGGCTTTTGCTTAGATAAATAACTGCCTTTTCACCTCTCTTAATGCGTGACTGTTTTTAGCAATATCACAGTCAATTTCTAAAACAGACTTTCTCTTTACTTTGAGTACCAAAGTAGTGACTTCAAGGCAAATTAAAAAAAATATTTTTGCAAAATCAGCAAAAAACTGCCCCAAATGATATTGACTTTTTTCAGACAGATAAATAGTTGAAGTCTTAAAATCAGACAATTTCCTATCAGACCAAAAATTAGATCCAGGATTCTAAATTTTATAGACCAGAGGGCAATTCTGAATCCCTCTCCACCTCTGCAAAATCTCTTCTGCCCTCAGAATTATCACACACAGATGCAGTCTACAACATTAACACAGGATCTGCATCAAATGCCAACAAAACTTAAACCCCACAAGCAAAATTTTTACAAAATTTGTTCAGTTACTGGACTCTTTTTTTTCTGCTTTGCGCAAAAAGATCCTGGCATCCCAATGGACCAAGAGGCTAAATTTCTAGCATAGTCTTG